GATGTGCGGTCATCTGAGATCTGTTTTCTTACCCCTCCCATTTCAAGGGAATAATCGTAGCTATGGTGGTTTCTGTTAGTGTAGGATATCAATCTTCTGTTTACCTCAGCTATCAGTATGTGTCAGTGTTTATTTACTCTGGAGGAGACTGTCAAACTTAGTTAAAAGAGTCCAAAACAAGTCGAAGAGTTAATAAGGCTCTGACAAATTCTTGTCCGCTTGCTGAGGATATCCTGAACTTTTTTTATGGTAAGCGCTGCTGTTTTTCCTGCCCTTAGCCTCTGTTAGCTGCTGTTAGTCAGCAAAATTGGTATGGCCCAGATCTGGCCCACACAATGTGCTTACACATGGCCGTCATTCTTTGCAGTATGTGGGCCACGTGTAAGTTGTGTGCAGCCACGGGCCAGTTGCAGACACACATGACAAAACTCTGTTTAGACAGTGAATGGACTGATTCTTATATAGTGTTTTTCAACTCTACCAGATTACTCAAAGTGCTCTATACAACATGCCACAGTCACCCAATCACACACTTTCTCTTAACTGAGTGCTTTCTAACTACATTCATACTCACACTCTTGACATGCAGACTGGATAAGCCAGGGATCAAACCACTAACCTTCCAATCAATAGGTGACCTGCTCTACCGCCTGAGCTACGGCCACCCACTGGCAAAGATGAGTAAACCCTCACTAGGTTTTGGATATAGTGTAAACTCACAAACCCGTCAAACCTGCATTTGAAACGTTGGCTACCATAGCAGTATAGTATTGCAACATGGCATTTGGGTCTTCTAACTAAAATAGGAAAATAGGAACATAAATAGTGCATCATTGCCAGACCTGGCCCACATCTGGTTGACATACACTCTGCCATAACACCGGTCAGTCAGAAGTGCCAGCTTGATGCCGGATCCCGCCACACCTGTTTTCTATGGGCCTGGGCCACATAAACCAAACCACAATCGAGCCAGTTGTGACATGCCATCACATAGACAGTGCCATCTATGCCAGGCCTGGCCCATATCAGGATGACATACGTCTTATCATGCCAGAAGTCAGCCAGCAGTGCTGGCTTGATACCAGATCCGGGCCAGACCTGCTTGCTATGTTGGCATTAGTGAAACTTCATTTATAGTGAACCTAACATTGTTGGGCTCAGACAATTTGCAAATAAACTTGTATAAGATGGGAGAATATGATGAAATTGTTTATCAGAGGGAACATGAGATATTTTTTTGGACACTCAAGCCTAACATTATAATGTTATCTTAAATCCCTCTGCTGTTGATCTTAAGCTAGCTCACTGTCAGCTATCAGAAAGGAGGTTGCATGTCAAATCTGCTGACAAGAAGTAACTGTTACAATATTGGGACCAAATGAGCATGTTTATGCATGTTTTTGTGTGTCGGTGCCATGATTTCAGTTCAGGACATGAGGGTTAACTTGAGTAGGAAAAGGATGATATTTTCTCCAGATGTGCATCACGTTTTCTTTTTCCTTCGCGTTTTCGCTTCTTTGGTGAAGGGGAACCCTTGTCAGATGATAAAAGACAGGTATGATGCTTCATATCTTGAGTTTGAATTACAGTTTGCCACTAAATCACATAACCAGAGTAGTTAGAATGTATTGATGACTACTCCCATTAGACAGCTATCTCTACAGATGCACATGCAAGCAATCCTTTCAATCATCAACCTGGTAATTAAAACTGTACCTATTATAGAAGGGACAAACAGAAGCTACAAAACATTTAGTATGCTACAAAAAAGCAGCAGCAAACGCAACATATGTTCAGCACTAAGTTGCAATGATGATCCTCCTTCCTTTTTTCAAATTTATTCATGTAGTGGACTTCACTTGTACTAACCCCTTGTACTAAACTTGACAAACATGCACGCAAACAACAGAATGTACCATTCCAAACATGTTGGAACAGACAAAGTTTGTTCTGAGTGAAAACCCTAAGGGCTTTGTCCTTGCCAGAGCATCTCTCAACCCCCGTCTTCTATCCCAACATCCTTCATCCTTCTGATGAAACCCTGGGGAAGGTTCAATTTTAGGGACTAAACTCCAGCTTTGCCCCTAAAGACGGTCTCTTTCCCTTTGCTCTGTTTTGCTTGGTTTAAGCCAATTTACTGCTTGCAGTTATACTATTACCACTGTCAAGCCACCATATTCCCACAAGAGCGAGAGAATATTCCCACAGTACAGTCCTGATGTGCAGCTTACACCAACACTGAAACCTAGTAAAACAACACTGAGGAGGACCTCTACGAGCTTTGCCAACAGGCCTTATTGACAAGTTAAGACCATTAACTTTATTCGCTTGTTGACACTGGTTTGCCGCGATGCCCCATCATCAGTCAGTCTTGAGTGCTTTGGATGAATCCCAGTCAGACCTGAATCATGAAGCTGGAGGCAGATCTGGGAAACAGCGACCACAGTTCAGTCCACACACAGACAGTGGCCAAAAAAACTCTGCCTCCTCTCTGTCCAAAGCTGTCAATGTGACTGTGGCACTCCTGTCCGTGATTGATGACCATGGCTCTGCATATTTCTGAAGCTGACACGTGCTGCCTCTGTTGGCCGGGAGTCCTCTCTGTTCTATTTTGTTTACATTATTCGTCTTATTTCTCTGACCAGCCCAGCTGTCGAGTGCATATGGAAGGGGTTTTTTTTTTCCATGCCCTCAGTTGTCCAGGTATGTGTAACGAAATCTTGAGTTCTGTTTTGAAAACCCTGGGAGTTCCAGTCGTTTTCACATTTGAGGTTTTTCTTTAAGCTCCCCCACCCCCGCCTTCCCTCTCACCCACTTGTACTCCCATAGAATTGTCCACCCAAAGCTTCTAACTGCTTAATTTGTAGCACTTCCAAAAAGTAAAACAAACATAGGTTTTTAAAAAAAAAACAGTGGGCACCACCCAGCATCTTGACCACTTTATGTAATGAAGTAAAAAGGCCTGTGTGTGTGCCTACATTATTAGTGTTTTTAGAATCGGGCATTTTCAGCTTACCTTTTACGTTGGCATCAGAGAGAAAAAAGTTACTGACTTTCCAATTTCTTCATGTTTTATTCTCAAAACATGAGCTTTCGGTTTGATCCTATGAAAAAATGACCAATCATGTAGGTGGTTGTTTAAAACACATAACTGTTGCACTTGTTTCATGATACAGTCTTGCAGGTTAGTCACTCAAACTTAACTAGTTATTTCATCTTTTGCATAACCCTAAACTGAAGCAGCTGATGCTGAAATCAGACAAAGATCAGGTATAAATGTTAGGTTCTTTAAACAGAAAAAAGTTAATCGAGTTAACAGAATCAGACCCACATACGAGTGTGTGGATCCAACATGCTTTCAGACCGCACAAAATGTCCCAGATTGCACATTTTCAATGCTTTACAAACAGATGCAAAGTATCTCGCCTATGAGTGAATTTGACAGCAAGAAAGAAACTAACCATGAATTCCTTATACGTCTACATGCATACAGTAACAAGGTCAGTAAAAAGGTTGAAGCAGTAGAGTACAGAAACCAAGTAACCGTCTCCTGATCCTTAAAATGTGATCTGTGCATTGTGGCACAGCAACATTGGTGCATGCAGCTCCACATGTGTCACCACACAGAATAAATTAACAGCTGTAACTTCTCTTAAACACCTGCAATAACAATCCAGCGTGTAGCAGGTTAGCTAGCTTCTCTGCTCTCCCTCTCTTTCTTTGCATTGTCATTTGATCCAGCCTCTGCCCTACGTAAAATTCTCAGAGCTACAGAAGAGGTTTGGAAAGCAAAGCAGAGAGGCCGGTCTCTTCTGAGTCTGGATACAACCGTAAGTAAAGATGAAAGAATAATGAAAGATTGATGTGGCCAAAATGTGTTTCCCTTGGACGTTAATTTAGAAAGCAGGACATACTCTCCACTGAGTCTGTATCAAGTCTTTTTTTAGACCACAGTTGGAACTGAAATACACACAGAGTTGCCAGTGAGGCTGGGTGGCTAAAATAAATATGCTGATATTACTAAGCAGTCACATTTAAAACAACGAGTCTTCCAAAGGCGTCGCTTTAGTTGTTTCCCATATCGTCACTTGAGGGCAGACCCAACGCAACTTGAACTAATTTATTTAGAGGAGCCTGGAGCTTTTCTTTCACTGATGTCATCAGTCATCTTTGCCGCAAATACAGAAAACAAGTAACTTAATCGCAATTGCAAACACCACTACCTGGGTGAGTCAAATTAGGCTGAATGCCAGCGAGTAGCTGTAAAAGGTTTAACGGTTAAAATTTCAAGATTTCCAGAGTAACGTGATACACGATAAACTTCCACACAGAACAAATAATCTCTTCTGGAAAACAGATCACAACAAAAAAAAGAAAAAAAGTTGGGAAAGCCTTGAAAACCATATCAGCTCAACACAAATGCAAACAGTTTTAACAAAGGACAACAGGTGTCATTGAAGTGTAACTGTCCACCAGAGACATATTCAGCAAACGAGGCTTGGCAGCGTGTACCTGCTCTCATGCAACATACAGTAACTTGACTCACCTTTTGTTTGCTGCAGTAGTTTATTTAATCTGAGGTTATAGTGCTTTTCATGAAGTGTTGACACGAGTTTTTCACCTGTTACCTCTTTTGGCTCATTCCCTAATCTCACGACTAATCCCAAACCCTGTCAGGGATTCCACCGTGTGTCGTGTCTGACAATGTATGTGTGTGCTTGTTTCCAAATAAAGCAGAGCGAGCAGCTGGGATCCAAACATCACAACAGAAGCTGACGACATGGTGAAGTGAACAATTAATCTCCAAACGCTGTGAACGCGACTGACAAATGCGGAACACTTTATCTTGGCAGGATCTTCTCGTGTGGTTCAAGGTAATGCTATTTTTAATCATCGGCACACAGAGCGCTTCATTCTTCACCATATGTTCCAGGATGAGACTGGGTCTTTAATTAACAGATTAGCATTGATATGAGATGTCATTCTGAATACAGACTCACCTGATCTGATCTATGCAAACTCAGCTTCTTCTGCTGAAGTATCCTCCTCCTCCTCTTCTATCCCCTGGCTTTAAAATGCAAATCTCTGATGTCAGCACATTTCCTCGCAGACTGCCTCACAGGTATGACTCTGAATACCCTCTGCCCTCTCCCAAACCTGCTGGAAAACAAAAGACACACACAAAACCCATTTTGCAATCTGTCATCAAGGGCTGGGAAGCAGGAAAAATATGCACGAGACAGAAATTGATTTCATGTGTTTCTCCATCTCCTCTCGCAGTCTGACTGGCACTCACTGTCGCTTCCTATTAATCAGACGCGGTGCAGAAAAAGGTCGACAGCAGAGCAGACATGCTGAGGACCGTAGAACAAAGCTTTTCAGATTAGTATGTTGAAAGATCAAACTGTCAAATGAGATCAGGGTGACATGTTTTGAACGAGGTGAAAGGCAGAGCCCGCTCTTTATACACATATAAGGAAATATGAACTTCTCAGGAAAAGAAGGCAAGCGCCACGAAACATATTTCAGAGACCTTGAGACAATATTGTATGAGCAAAATTACAGTGAGCCACAGCTGGGTGCTGAAGTGAAACAGCGACGTTCCCTCACGATGGAAACAGGTGACTCGTACTGTGTTTCTGGGTGGTCTCGGCTGACCTGTATTTTCTTAATAAACCAGTAAGTTAGGGTGTAATTATAGGCTGTCGAGCTGCCAGCGTGTCAGACTTGTATGTGTGGGTGAAAGTGCTGACAGTGTCATATCAGCTGTGTGAACTTACATGTGAACCATATACACACAAAAATGGAGAAAATATTTGCATAACTGTAATTTTTTTTGTTTTAGTATCATCTTTTTTTCCACCCACGCAGACTCACACAGCTGTCTTTTATTTGCCAGGATCCAGCAGCAAATGGTGATACATTGTGAACTTTAACACACAGATTCTTGACATTCTTTATGGGTGTGAGTTACTCTCCAACTCAAACTGGCGTTTGGCTTCAGGACGCTTTTCTTTCCGGACAGCAGGTCACTGTCGCAGAAGGAGTTCAAGCAATCCTTTCCCACATATACAGGCTATTATTGACCTCTCTACATGCAGGAAGTCCATTTTTCACAGTCTTGCACAGGTTCAGCTCCCTGACTGAACACCACTTGAAACAAGGACTCCAGGTTTGGAGCTGCATCAGCACATTTTGCTGTGTATGACGGGTCTTGCAGTGGCACGCTCAATGTTGCTTAATGTAAAAGGAATGCTAATTAAACGATGCAACAAGCCAACTCAGGGCTGAAACCAAGATGCAAAGACATAAAAATTTATTTATGAGCTACTATATGTTTATATTGCTGAAATGCACTATGCAAGTAGGCTGAAATATTTTTTAAGCAGGAAAATATGTAGAAGTATCAATCACAAGATGACCTTCCATAACGCCACTGAGCTCTCAGACCGCATCCATCCTGAAAGAGTATTACATGTTTTTATACACTCACCGGACACTTTATTAGGTACACCTCCCTTTTGTCTTGAGAACTGCTAAAATTCTTTGCATCATAGATTCAAGATGTTGCTGGAAACATTCATCAGAGATTTTGGTCCATATTGACATGACAGAATCACACAGTTGCTGCAGATTTGTTAGTTGCACGTGCAAGACGTGAATCTCATGTTCCATCTAAAAGTACAGAAGTACAGAAGTCTGGTGAGGAACTTTGTCGCATGGAGTCACACAAACCACCTGCAACTCAACACCTCAAAGACTAAGG